TCTTTACTCTGTCAGTCATTTAAAATTATAAATTTCATTCTTAGCACACAGGCTATGCAAAAAAGGTGAAAAGCTATATTTGGCTTATAGCCAACTTGTTGATACCTGTGCTAGATTGAGTTTTTTGAGTTATACTCATGTTTAACTCCTGTACCCAGCATGGCACTGGATATATATGAAGAATTAAATACAAAAAGCTTGATGAATGAATGAATGGATAAGACATAAGTTTACAATAGGCTTTTAAGTCTTTCTGATCAAAATAATATAGTAGTATGCAACTGCTAGTTCTGGGATAGCATAGAATTCTAAAAATATTCAAAGGTATTTTTTTACCTTCAATGTATTAAGTAGATTAACATTTTTCTAATTTACTATAATTATCAAACACTTTTTAATTAGTCTTTTATGCTTCTTTAATCTTTTAGTCTCGTCTAGAATTATATGTATACAACTAAACTTTTATTAAACAAATGATAAAAGATTATGTAATAACACCTTTTTAGACATATATTAAGTTTAAATGAAAATTAGAGATGAAGAGGTAATTTGTGCAGCAATGAGTTCTTACATTGTATAGAATTTTATAATTATTAGCATTTTACCAGTGCCAATGAATTTTTCAGTCTTCATGAGATCATAGAAATACAATATATTCTTAAAAATAAACCTTTTCATATCAAATTAAAACTCTAAAAGTTGAGAAATGTGGATTATTATGCAATTATATGTAAGGTTTGATCTCATCTCATACTTAGAAGAAAGGAAGAGGCTAGCAGGCATTCAACTAACAGATTAATCGTATTGTATAATACAGGACCTAAACATAGAAAAATTTCATGTTTTATATAAATCAATTTTGATAGTCTTATTCCTACAACATGTGAAATAAGATAACCTTTACTAAACTTGCTATTTCATTGTCCTGAAAAGAAATTTAAATTGATTAAATTTAATTTTCTGTAGATGTTAAATGCACTTGCAATAACTTTGGGTTACTTTTTTCATTCATTAAATTTATCATTTTTCCCCTTCATTTTCTTCCCTGTCAACACAACAATCCCACAATTATTATTTGTGTTTGTAGATCAAAGTAATTATTGACTATAAAATGTAAGTAAATTAAAGAAAGAGTTCTACAGTATCTTACCTTTATCAAACTGAATTTTCTATCAATAAATTTTGGCACTAACTAAAAATATTTGCAACTCTAAGTCATATATAGGCAAACATTTCTTTCTTTTTTTTTATTCATTTATTCACATGTGCATACATTGTTCAGGTCATTTCTCCCCCCTAACCACCAACCCTTCTTTCTTCCCCCAACCCCACTTTGCTTCCAGGGAGAATCTATTCTGCCCTTATCTCTAATGTTGTTGAAGAGAAAACATAAGCAATAATAAGGAAGACAAAGCGTTTTTGCTAGTTGAGATAAGGATTGTTATACAGAGAGATTCCTAGTATTGGTTCCTTGTACAAATGTGTTATACCCCAAGTTGATTCATCTCTAACTGTCCTTTTCCCGATCCTCTTCTCATATTGACTCTGTTGCTTTAAGGTTTCTGTATTAGTTCCTCTGTAGTGCAGACATCAAATACTTTCATGTTTTGGGTTTCTTAGCTATCCCCCTATCTCCTGTGTGTACTCTCCCATTATCATGTGACCCAAGTCCTACAATAATGCTGTACTTTAGGCAAACATTTCTATAAACAGGTTCTTCTCTTTTAGGTACAAATATCAAAGATAGATAAGTTGAAGACAAATAACTACATGATTTAGGTTCAGAATTAAATTTCTAAGTTTCTATCTGACATACCAGTATTATATTTTAAATACTGTATGAACTATAATTAGAGTACAAAGGAAGTGGGAAATAGAATTATTTTTGGAAGCCCTGTATTTCTTTTCTGTTTATTTTTTAAGACTTAACAGTTCTACTTTTGATAGATACGTAAAATATGAAGTGAAATAACTGTTAAATATCCAGCTATTAACAATCAGATAAATTGCCTGTTTTAAAAAAGATGTTAAGGAAGACATATTTATGTGTATTTTAAGCTCATTTAAAAGAAAATCATAATACAACTTTACTTACGCAAGTTGCTACAGGTATATAAGAATAAGAGTACTGTGCTCTTCAAGTGATTGCAACTTTTAAGAAAAAAAGGCTGCTCAGTTTCTGATATAATGCCATATACAAGGTGTTAGCGAATACTCTTTATCAGGAAATAGTGACAAAAAAAGGAAAGAAAAACAAACAGATATTAGAGTAGCAGAAATTCAAGATCTCTGATTTATATGGAGATGGGAAAGATCAAACATAAAGCTTACTATATGAAAACTTAGAAATAACTTAACAAGAGTATGAAGATTTCATGGGCTTACTTTGAGACCAATGTAACACTGTATTTGTCTACTGGTAGATATATACAAAAAAACCAATCAATCAACTAACCAACAAACCAAACAAACAAAAACTACCAAATTTGTTAGTTACATAGCAAATAATAAAAAATATTTTACCCTTATAAGATTATAAGTAGGCATTTTTATTACTTTCATTTTAAATAAACTAAAGCACATATAACACAGAAATGTATTTGATTTTTTTGTCCCTGGTTCTTGACACAGAATTCCTACAACCACTGGAATTTCCTGAGCAATAGAAGTGCCTTTTGGTATCTATAACAGATACCTTTAAATCACAAGAATCCCTTTATAGCCTCAGAATAGTGCTATCCACTGAGCAGCGTGGGCTGGAGACTGAACTGTATAAAAACTCTTGAACATTTACAGTTCACAAATTGGTGAACACATTCGGGTGCTAGAAGGATCTGAGAAAGGCACCGGAACGTGCAAATATTCCTTCCCATACCTTGCCCTATGCCTCTCTTCTACTTGGCATTTCTTAGTTGTATCCCTATAATAAACTGGTAAAAAATTATTTTCCAGAGTTTTGTGAACCATTCTAGCTAATTATTAAGTCTGATGGGGAAGGTTATGGGAAATCCACTGACTTAATAGCAAAGTAGAACAGAGTGCAGATAACCTGAAGACCCAAGAGTTGTTAAAATAATTTTGAAACCTTTTATTTATTTATTAATTGTATTTTTTTTGGTGGCACTGTGGTTTGAACTCAGGGACTCACACTTGCTAGGCAGGTGCTCTACCTCTAGAGCCACTCTGCCAGCCTGAGACCCAAGATTTGTGAGTGTCATCTAGTGGGAAGACAGTCCTATGATATTGAGCTTTAAACTAAAGGAGTCTGACCCTACCGCCACATAGGTATGGCATCAGAATTGAATTGAAGTGCAATGAAGGGCATTTCATGTCAAGAGCTGGAGAATTGCTTGGTGAGAGAAAATTCCACACTTTTGTAAGTAAAAATAGCCCATGTATCCACACAATTAGCCAGAATACAATATGGTATTGACTTGAAGTTCACAGGATACAAGATTCTTGGTGATGCAAGTAATTTCCCTACAATTAAAATAATGTTATTATTTGGTTATGAATGAAATACATGATATTTTTTCTAATTTTTTGATATAAAAATGAGTAGCAGTATAAAAATATTTAACCATCCTACAGAAACTAATTGGTATCTAAATTCGAGGTCATTTACTTCAAACATGTTAACACACAAACTCCCAAAATCAATGCTCTTACATATGTAGTCCAATTTCTTACAAACAAAGCAAAGTACATAAAAACACAAACACATCTCTGCAGCAGATGACTTCCCTTACAATTGTACTATTTTAGTTAGTCTCACAGTATAATACTAATCACAGTATTTCATTTCTGGATCAAATAATAAGGATCCAGAAACTAAATAAATTTTTGTTTATATAGTTGAAATTAAGAATCTACCAATATGACTCTTCTCATTGTTTTAAAAGTAAATCTATTTTATTTATAACCCTATTTATAATAATATCAAAATTTATAATATTTACATAGAAGAACAGTAAATATTTTACTGCTTGGTCTAGAAAGTTGCATTTTTATATCTTAGAGCAATGGTTCTCGAAGTTTAGAAGGATGGTCTAGAAATCAGAGACATCTGTATCATCTTATCAAAAACTCAAGGTCTCCAAATTCACTTCAAATAACTGAATCAGAAAATATGTAGAGGGACCTACAGTTTGTGTTTTAACAAGTCCTCTGATTGATTCTGGCATAAGCTAAAGTTTGAAAAGCAGTGTACAAGCATAAAGAAGCACAGTAATCACTCATTAAAAGCAGAGGAAAAGTAACTTGCTGAAAATAATGTAGCAGATATAAAATGTACAAATTTGAAAATGAAGAGATAGTTGACACTAGTTGAAATTAAGACAAGAAATAGTTTTTTGAGGGGGAAAGGGAATAATGTCACAAGTGGCAATATAAGTTTCCATATAATTCCAAAGTTATACCTGAAATTTTTGGCTTTCTTGAAAATTTTTTTCCCATGCAAGGTTGAAGATGATTCTTGTGGCATGAAGCTTAGATATTAATCCTTCTTTTGGGCTTATAAAAATATGCAGTTAAATGTCACTCTCATTTAAAACTATAGAAAAGATAACCTTCATCAACAGTACTATAAAATGGCTATAAATATTCTACTACAGTTATCCCAGTATACTTTGAGACAAATGACAAAGGTACCTCAAGAAAAGGGAAAGCAAACCCATTTTAAATTCTGTTGACAAAGCACAAGAGACCAGATGCCATGTTAACAGAATTTTGTGATTACCTCCTACGGTTCAACTGACATTGCAGACCACCAAGAAGTAAAGAGTTAATTCCTAGCCCAGTTCAATTTTCCAGTTTAAGTCCAAAAATAGTCAAGAAACATTTTTTCATAAGTGTTCTTCCATAACAAAATTTTTATATTCTTATAACCAAAGTATTGCTTTATTTGGTAACATTAGAAAAATAATACAAAAAGCAAAAAGAACTGAAAATAACATGATTAGTCTAGTCCTTGAATATGAGAAAGGCATGTACTATCTCACCTCTGGAGTGACATCTCGTGGTGCAAACCCTGTTCCTCCAGTTGTTAATATCAAATTAAGTTCCTTTTCATCACACCAATCTATCAGCGTTTCCTGAAAGAAAACAATAATATTGTCACATACAAAAGGACTTGCTTAAAACATCCAAGTCCTCATATACTTGATAAATAGTGAGGAAATACAGATTTACACTTTTCACTATTAATTTTACAGTAATATCTTAAAAGCCTAAGTTAGTTGGGATTTCCTTCCTTCCTTCCTTCCTTCCTTCCTTCCTTCCTTCCTTCCTTCCTTCCTGCCTTCCTCCCTTCCTTCCCCCTTCCCTCCCTCCGTCCCTCCCTCCCTCTATCCTCCCCCTTTTTTGTGCTGGGGATTGAACCCTGGGTTTTGTGCATGGTAACTTAGTGCTCTGAGTTACACCTGCAGCCCTTGAGCACTGGGATTTTAAAAATCTTCTCACGTAATTTAAAATGCAGTCACACAATTAAGAATTGAGAATTACTAAAGAGACGATGTGTATAGTTACCAGAGTAAATTTCACTAAGTCAATTGGGTAGGCTCACAAAGATATCATATAGCTTATAACTATTTGCACCACTATAAAATTATTGAAGTTTTTCTATTCCCATAAATGATAATTGGAAACACCAGATTTCTTTCACTTAAATAATATTTGATATTTTGAGCTCAATTAAGGATTGAAGTATTTGGGAAGTAATATTTTATTGTCCAATGTAGCTGTATGATATGCAGCAATGTTTCATTAAAACAAAAAAATTTAGTTAGGCTTTTAGACTTTTAAGATAAAAAAAGTAGTTATGTCATCTTTACTTAGCTGATTACCCAAACATAAGGACTCTTCCTCACTCACCAATATAGATTACCAGTATTCCAGGTTGATAATACTCATGCACTTGTTTCATTAATTCATTTATTTAACAAGAAAATATCAGCGAATCTACTTATGCAAGCACTTCAGTGGGTAACAGGGATGTGAAGATAAATGAACCACAGTTCCTCATCTCAAGTTTTCATTCAAGGAGAGAGGTTGTGAGTATGAACTTTCCTAGAACTTTGTTACTCAAAGTGTGATCTGAATACCAACAATATTATTATCAACTGGAAGGTTGTTAGGAATGAAGAATGTCTGGATAGATACAAAATCAACTGAACCAGAATCTAAATTTTTAGAAAGATTCCTCAAGATAATACATGTATATTAAATTGATCTAAATGTATTTTCTAAAGATGTACCACTCTAGATATTGAGTCTTATTTTTGTATCATGTTAAAAATTGTCTTATTTAACCTGTAATTTCTTAGTGTAGTTGGAAAGCAATATATCACCACCATTTGTTTCTGCACCTATATGATCTTTCAGGCTGAAATAAGTCTTCATTTAGTATTTCATTCAGGATTTTTGCATGAAACAGCTTTATGAAAAATTCTGTATCTATTTCAAAACTGGGGCTGAGGACATTGTCTACTTTAGTGGTTAATTTTTCCTTATGTGGAAAGTACAACTTAAAAAATTTACAACCTTGAAATTCCAAGTTAGTACTATAGTATGACGGCATATTGAAGAATTCCTCCTTTGCTTAACAAATAACAAAATGAACAAAAGCTGGGTGCTGGCTCATGCCTGTAATTCTAGCTACTTGGGAGGTTGAGATTGGGAGGATAGCAGTTTGAGGTGAGCCTGGGCAAACAGTTTCTGAGACCCCAACTCCAAAAAATAACCAGAGCAAAAATGGACTGGAGGTATAGCTCAAGCAGTACATTGCCTGCTTTGCAAAAGTGAAACCCTTAGTTCAAAGTCTAGTCCCACCAAAAAAAAAAAAAAAAAAAGTTAAAGACTAGAGAAAGAAATCTCTCTAGCAACCTTGAGTAAGGAAAAAGATCTAGCTTCATGTAATAAATCTCAGAAGTTGGGTGGTCAAGGGCAAAATCAAAAAATTTTTAGAACTATAGTGTTGCATTATTAGTCTCCTAGTACTGTTCTGGTACCCAAAGAAGTCATAAATGTGAATTATCAAAATCTTAAAAATTCTAAGACTCCAACTCTAGAGATATGTATACTGAAAGAGACCCCCTTATCTTTTTGTAAGCAGCTACTTGAGAAACATATACAATAGGGGACTAACAATGGTCAAGATTAAACTTCAAGGAATAAATGCACACTGAATTGGAGGAACTAATATAAAATATGATGATACTCCTTTCATAATTATGAGCTAAACTCTCACAAAAGAAGAAAAACTCTAGCACTGGGCATTTTAGATAATTTCAGGAAGAAGAGCAGCATATTCAAACAAAGACTGCATACAGTCATGGGTTTCTTGCTTCTCCTTACTTTCTCTGTGCAAGTTCCAGACTGGGTGACTTTTTATCTTTCTTTGTACATATACTTCTGCAATGGTTTTGAAATAAAGCTCTACCTTGAGCCCTGGATACTGTTTGACCAGATTATTTTTCCCCTGATACTCATATAATAAACAGAAACTTGAAGATAAGGAAAAGGAAGGTGAAAAGTAATCTAACAGTGTTAAGATTGTTATTTTTTATATTAGGGTTTAACCAATCCTGTAAAAGGTTTTAAAAGATAGTTAAAACATATGACCTATTAATGATAACTATTAGTGATTTCCCTAATTTTGTTTCTGACTTAGTGAGACCTTCATTTACCACATAGTATCTGTTATGACAAAAAAAGCTATTTCAAAGTCAGTATGCTCTTTCAGTTTTTTCTTCTTTTTAATTGTAAACAAACCATTATGTGTATCAGCTTTAGAGAATTATCCAAGATTTGTATTGCTATCCTTTTCAGTCACTTTAAACATCCATCCATTCTTCTTGTTACATAGCAGATAAAGAAAAATGTTGGAATGTTTTACAACTTAAAAGTCAATAATATTTATTTTGGAATAATTAGACTTGGAGTATATTTTATTCTTTATTAACTTTTCACTATTTTGCATTGTTTGAATTCTTTGTGACTTGCATGTATTCTTAAAAAATAAGTGGACCTTAAACAATGAATTGACTGTTATTTGTCTTTCACTCTGATAGCTAGTATTTCAATTCTTCTTTACTCACCATTTTCATCAAAAATTACAGAAATGAATTTTGTACTCAATAATTATCAATATACTATTAAGGCAACCTAAATATAGACATACATTCTTAGCAAATCCTCTAGTTCAGTGTTGAAGGTTTTATCCACAACCCATGCAACTGGGCTGGATTTGTGACATGCTTTGACTAATAAAATGGGAAGAACATTATGGTATTTGAGATTTTGAAAGCTAGATATCAAAATGCCTCACAGAGTTGTTCTTTTCTCTTTGGTAATCTTCTACTACTATTTAAGAAAATATGAGCTAGTCAGTAGTAAATAGTATGTGGGAAGAAAACCTAAGACTCAGGCCCCAGAAATCAGACTGAGGACACCTTAGATTCAACAGTTCTAGGTAAACTGACATTATTACAGCCACAGAAATGACCCCATATAAGACCAGAAGAATATATACACAGCTGAGCCCAGAAAATAGAGATTTGTGAGAAAAAAGAAACCACTGTTGTAAGTCACTAAGTTTTGAGTGGTCTTCTTTTGATATTACAGGGTTTGAACGCAGGGCCTTGTGTTTGCTAAGCAAGCATTGCAGTGGTTTTCAGTACAGCAATAGAATACAGATACAACTACTTTTATAGTTAGCATTTTTACAACCTAGTGTTTTACTTGCTATTTCCAATTTGTATTTTATTAGTTATAAAATTATCTACCATTTATAATAAGCTTCAATATAGATCTGAAAGTAGCTTGATTTGAGATATATTTAAATCAACTGGAACGATGTGAGAAGAATGAGATTATATAATTTAATCTTCAGTTTAGGTAATATTTAATGTTTAGTATCTGGCCATGAAAATTAAACAAATAGAAAATCATGACAAATGGTTTGGATATGATAGAGCTCAAACGTATGAACACATTAATATAACATGGCACATCAAAGAGGTATGTCCATCTTTATAAAACTTTTTTCAGATACTACACTGACAATAATGAAAACCATTATTACTTAGATTTAAACAAAACTTTATTCTTATCTAATAGTAGAGAACAATAAAGAGGCAAATGGAGTAGTAGCTGAGCTAAGAGGGAGCAAATTTCAATAAGGGAATATTCTATGTCTACTTCAAATCTTATAGTCATCTACTATATTTTTCCTTCCTTTATGTTTATTGATGAAAACACCAATCATCAAATCCTCACCTAAGAGTAGAGAACAATAAAAAGAAAAGTTGGGTAGTACCTGAGCTAAAAGGAAGTTTAGATCAAAATGGATCAAGGATCTTAATATCAGACTGAAAACTCTGAAGTTAGTACAGGAAAGAGCAGGGAATATTCTGGAAGCAATAGGTATAGACAAGGACTTCCTCAATTGAACCCAGCAGCTCAGCAACTAAGAGAAAGGATGGACAAATGGGACTTCATAAAATTAAAAAGCTTCTGCACAACTAAACTGAAGAGACCACCCAAAGAGTGGGAGAAAATATTTGCCAGCTACACATCACACAAAGAACTGATAACCAGAATATACAGGGAGCTCAAAAAACTAAAACTCTCCTCAAATCAATGAGTCGATAAGAAATGGGCAACTGAACTAAATAGAACTTTTTCAAAAGAAGAAATTCAAATGGCCAAAAAAACACATGAAAAAATGCTCACCATCTCTGGCCATAAAGGAAATGCAAATCAAAACCACACTAAGATTCCACCTCACCCCTGTTAGACTAGCCATCATCAAAAACACCACCAACAACAGGTATTGGTGAGGATGTGGGGAAAAAGGAACCCTCGTACACTGCTAGTGTGAATGCAAACTAGTCCAACTACTTTGGAAAACAATATGGAGGCTTCGTAAAAAACTAAACATAAATCTGCCATGTGACCCAGCAATCCCACTCCTAGGGATATACCCAAAGGAAAGCGACTCAGGTTACTCCAGAGACACCTGCACACCCATGTTTATTGCAGTGCTATTCACAATAGCCAAGTTATGGAAACAACCAAGATGCCACACTCCTGA